TGTAGCTGTTAACCAATTACACAGTATTATGTTTTGAAGAATGACATTGACTCTCAGTTTAATTCTTGGAAATGCAAACTAGATGCAAATTAGTTGCATCTTCGTGGTAATTGTGTGGTTTTAGCACAATCTCAGCTGTTTTAGCAAGCTGTAGCTGTAAATTGCTTTAAAAACACCACTCATCAAACAGACAATCATGTGACAGATCACCTCATGTATTGCTTCAGCTTTCACAGAACAGGAAAGTATGACTTTAAATGGCACTGTACTAGAGCCTTGTCTGACACAGTGACAAGCAACATTCCTGCTCTACTCACAGACGTCAGTGCACTCACTCTGAATTTATGAGGAAGTGGGGCGATCATGCTACTCACTGCACAACCATGATGCCCTTTAAAAAATATTATCATCTCTAATTTGATTGAACACTGTTGCACAACGGATAGAGCAAAATTTACAAAAGTCAACGGTCAGCAAATCAAGGAATAGACAGGTGCGGCTTGGCATTAAACTCCCTTGTGTTATACATTGAATTCCTATGTTTTCATTACAGTAGCTTCATTATAAAATAGTAAAAAATATATAAAATGCTTTGGTTAATATGATTAAAGTGATGTTTTCAAATTATTTTAAAATAAATTAGGAAATTAATCATGGCAACTTAGTAATTCGGTTTGATATATTTACCTTTGGCTCACGGCCTCATGGTCAAGTTTGGTTTTTGACCCTTCATAAAAAAAAAAAAAAATTGGGCACCCATGGTTTAGAGCTTGACAATTACAACTTTCCAGAAGAATATAAAAAAAACATACGCACCCTTAAATAAAGGTTAAAACTATATGCAAATCAATGCAATTAAAAAGTAAATAAAAATGCATGACAGCCCACCATATAAACACAATCAAGCCTTTAAAACAGTAATTGACCCCTTTAAGAAATAATGTTAATCATAGAATGGTATATGATCTAAGGCTGAGGTGAGAACTCAGTGGTGCTTAACTAATCTAGAAAATCAAATTTTTCGGTCCCATAAACAAGTGAATAATCCAATATATACAATGACTTGACTGTCCAATAATAACACTGGTGCAGTGCATTACTCAAATTCAGGAATAATTGTAGGTATTTGTAATTTATGTGCGGTATTCAGCTCTGTATTTAACCAATATGATAACTGAAAAAGTGCTGATTTGTAATCTGTTCACACGGATTTCATTAGCAGATAACTTGCTATAATTCCCATGGGTAACCCTTTTAATCTTGTTTGAAAAGATGTTTAGGTTATGATTCACCTCCACTGGCACGTAGTCAAAGCGGTGTCATTCCTTTTACTTCAATAAAATGTGGTAGCTGCTTTAAACAGTCATGCAAGTGACAGATTACCTCATGCATGACATGATTTTCACAGCACTGAAAGAGGACACCTATTCATTGTACATATCGCTGTCAATCTTACAGTGTCCTGTGTTTTTTTTTGTTTTGTTTTTTGTCGTTGTATTTGCACTGTCTGTATTTTGCACTGTCTGGAGCCAGCACCTAAGCTTTTCACTCATCATAGTACACATGCTACTGATAATGTGACAATAAAAGTGCTTTGATTTGAGTAAATTTTAATAAATCACTTGACCACTGTCTTCAGCCCACACACCAGAAAGAAGAACGCTCTGGTTCCCAAGGAGGGGAACGGAAATGCTATAAGTGGATTTTAATCCATGAAATGGGGATTTCGTTTCAGAAAGCCAATTGTCTGAAAGAGTATATAACGGGCTAATGAAAAGCCAAATGAGTTGTCAGCGTAAGCTTGCGCACGTGTGCTTTATTGCCAATTAGCTCCGCATATAAGCACAGGGAAAGCAAGGAAACGCCATCCTTTTAAGCTGAAGAGACTGACACTTACAGCTAAGGAACAATTATTATGGTGATGCTATATAGGGTTACTTTGGTAACCAGAGCATTCCCCTTCAGATGGGAAACTTCAAAGCTATAAGTGGATTTTAATCCATGAAATGGGGAAATGTCTGGAAAATGCCATAATGACAGCACCTTACCTTCGCTTCGATGAGAGGATAGCCAGGCATAGCGTGGGCGCTCCTGCATCAAAGACAGGCGAGGCCTTCCAACGTGATCCCTGGCCCTACCTTATCCCACTTCAAAGAAGTTTTACGGATTTAGATATATTTTTGGGAGTCTCAAGCGTCTAGATAATTCTTGGAAAATTCGACAGTACGTTAGGAAAGCATGCAGTCCCGATAGGGAGGACGCTGCAGAGGCCACCTGCTACCCAATGGGGAGATATGATGGCAAAATATATGGACTAGCCCTAAGAAGGGGGAGTACGCATATAATAAGATGGTTAGGAGAGAGGGAAGACACGGGTCCGCCCAAAACGTGGGCTGACCAGCGGGCAGACCTACAACGTAATGAGCCAGCGAGTGACTCCTCCGCTGAGTCAGTGCTGGGGGCCTCGGAGGAATCTGCAGGGCTCCCCTAACGGGGAACTTTACTGACAGATGAAAAAGCGCACGTATCTCCATGTTAGGGAGAATGGTGCAGCAAGCGTGTTTCAATACCTTTACCGAGTTGTTTCCTCAATCACCAAGGGTTACCTAATACCCTTGAGGAAACTGGCTCCACTCGCAGATTTGCAAATGTATTAGGTGTCGCCCAGCCCGCAGCTCTACAGATGTCTGTTAGAGAGGCGCCGCGTGCATGCGCCCAAGAGCATGCGACGCTCTGAGTAGAGTGCGGATGCACTCGCGGGGGACACGGCTCGCCCTGGCTCTGGTAAGCCAGGGAGATGGCATCCACTATCCAGTGGGCCAACCTTTGTTTTGATATGGCACTTCCCTGCTGCCGACCGCCATAACAGACAAAGAGCTGCTCAGATGATCTAAGCTCTGAGTGCGGTCCAGATTAATACGCAAAGCACGAACTGGAAACAGTAAGAAAAGGGCTGGGTCTGCCTCCTCCAAGGGGCAGCGCTTGCAGGCTCACTATCTGGTCTTAAAACGGTGTGGTAGTAACCTTGGGCGGGGTCTCAGAAACGGGAGAGTAAGCCAGCCCAAATTACAGGCACGAGTCACTGACTAAAAAATCCCTCGAGGTCCCCGACCCTCTAAATCGTTATCAACGCGACCAGCAGAGCTGTCTTCAGGGACAGAAATCTTAAAGATACTGAGTCGATGATCGAAGGGATCTGACGTAGCCTCGTGAGAACGAGGGCGAGATCCTAAGAGGGCATTAGAGAGGGGGGCGGGGTGGATTAATTCGCCTAGCGCCTCTGAAGCCTCCTTTCCACTGCACACGACAAACAACAAGTGACAGACCGGAAGTCATTCATTTCCAATGGAGAGCAGTCCGGGAGCTGCGTTGAGTTCTGACCATCTCCGTTTGCGGAAAATTCGGATCCGAATTGAGCTGCAGATCCATCAAAATATTTGAACTCCTGCGACTAGAGGGTATGCAAACTGCCGATATAATGTATTCCTGTGTTGTTCAAGCAGATCTGTGCGCGCGAGATGAGAAATAGGAGTTTATTTGGTTATTTTTTGAATTATGAAAAAACTTTTCTGTTCATAAATGTAAGTAAGAAAGTAAAAAAAATTATATTTTTAATGTTGTCTCCACATTCCCTCCAAAATTTTAGCGGTCTATGTGTTTCTATTATTCATTCATCCATTAAACTATGTAAACACACAGAATAAAGGCTCTAGCTTTTGCCCTCCTTTATTTCGGACACCGTTAGAATCAGCTTTTTCCCGTGGTGCACGACAACACTGAATTCGCAGACGGTGTCACCGAACAGGCAAGCTTGGGATATGGGGGAGTCAAGAAGGCGGACTTTGGTTTATACTCGACGTGTCCGCTTGAGTGCATGCGGCGAATGTGTCATCATCGCGGAGTTTGCGGAGGTTCGCTTTGGGTGCATAGGGCATGATTTCGGCTGGCGTTGCGTTTTTTGAGACTCAAGCAAACAGTGCGCGCGGCGCCGCAACTGATTTGAGTTGAATATGAACCACTTTGAAGAGATTTTATCTGAAACAGTACGACTTTAACTTTACGTAACAGTAAAGTAGCAACTTTATACGCACTGCTCTGGAGGACCGGACCCAAAGAACGCCAGGCAAGGGAGAAACCCAGCTCGATCGTCTGCCGATGCGTGTACACATTCTGGACTGGGAGCATGCTTTCGTTCGCTCGAAATAGCTGGTTCACAGCAGGAGGAACCCTCATCGACTCTCTTAGAAGGCTGTAATAGTCTGAAGCGAAAAGGATGGCGTTTCCTTGCTTTCCCTGTGCCTATATGCGGAGCTAATTGTCAATAAGGCACACGTGAGCAAGCTTACGCTGCAAGCTTTTGCATTTCATTGGCCCGTTATATACTCTTTCAGACAATTGGCTTTCTGAAACGAAATCCCTATTTTGTGGAATAAAATCCACTTATAGCATTAAAGTTTCCCATCCGAAGGGGAAAAAAAAGCTTCTGTTTATGCTTTCTTTCCAACAGAAATGGATGAGTACAAGCTACACATTTTTAAATCCCCTTTTTGACCTAAGTCATGAATGAGATTACTTTGTTTTTTCATCTGTTTGATTTGATATGTTTGGTATGATGGATATAAAGGCTGGAATTTCCTGGAAAATGTAATTGTTTCAGGTAAATGTCGTCTAGTGGCACACAACATTAAACCACAAGGCATCAGGACTTAAAAGAGGAGGTTGGGGTTTCATTTAATCTGATTCATTCAGTGCAACAACATATTTCAGGTTTTCTACTGTTAAGTTAGTATTTTTAGTTGGTATTTTTAAACAAGACTTTTATATTTAGGGCTTCAAGCGTAGCACTGAAACAGAATTGCAGTTGTTTGAAAAGTCCAAAGGTCATCATTCTGCCCACTGTACTCTTACAATCTGACATGATGCCAAGGCTCACTCAATCGGCCAGAGAGTGACGCAGCCATGATTTTAGGTGTGAAACTGAGCAGTAGAATGCTAACAGAGATATTCCAAGAGAAATGTTTATTGAAATGAAAATTTTCCTACCATGCTCCGATCATGACTTCTTCTCCATACAAAAATAATAGTAATCCATAGTTCAGAAAATATATTTGTTTTTCTTCTCATTTTGGGCTTGTAGATTTGCAGCTCCCTGTAGTGTTGTCAAGCACTTTTAGTTTAGCACTTAACTAACTCTGGGAGCAGTGCACCAGCCCGGCCCTAGAGAGAGATAAAATCAGTAAAAGGTATTAGATTACAGTGAGAGACGTTTTTAATACTATATATAAATAAAGCAAAGTGTTTTTACAGAGATATAGAGTGAGTGTAGGAAAGTGTCAGCTGAAAATGTACAAACTGGTGCAAGTGTTGATAAAAGTGTCAGAGAGATGAAAGAATGTGTCTTTTACAGATGGTTTGTCAGTGAGAGGCACACTAAGAACTGCATAATATTTTGAGGTTTTCATGTAGTGTGGTTGTCGGCAGAGGAGTGTGGTGGTGAGCAGGGGCAGATTTAGTGATTTTGGAGCCCTAAGCAATTCCAGCCATGGGGCCCAAAAGTTCTAAAAAGGGCCTTAAATTTTTTTATTTTAATTTTACATTTTTTTTATTTCTCCTTTTCTACATTTCATTGAAATTCAAAATAATAATAATAATAACATGTAAAGCACATTGTAAAACTTTTGAAATTATTTGTTTTCTTAAAATGAATTTACAGCTAAACATAATAAATGAACTATTTCATTTTCAAAACTATATCTTTACTGATTTGTCCGCTGGACTGGTCCATGATTGAAGGTGGTAGACACATTTGCGCAGATGTAATATTTACATTAAAATAAAAGAATTTTAGACCCTCGCCAAACAAAATATGATAGGAAACAATGTTATATATAATTTATATGTATCATTTATATTCTAGGTATTTATTTGGGGGCCCTCAGATTTCCTGGGGCCCTAAGCAGCTGCTTACCTTGCTTGTTGGTTTAATCCACCCCTGGTGGTGAGGTGGATCAGATCAAGTAATTCTGAGTTAATTTGGCCATTACTTATTGTTAGGGACAGAATCTGCTGACATTTTTTGCTATTTCTGCAAAGAATTTTGTAAAATTCTGTGGATTTATGCTAAATGATTTTTGGAATATCGTAACTAAAAACTTAATAAATTTTGATAAAATTTATAATAAAAACTTAAAACCTTTTTAAGTTTTATTTAATATTTACAATGCAAATCCATCTAGATCCACTTATTAGGTAAACAAAGCAAGTCTCTCATATAATATATCTGAAGGACATAAAATATTACTTTACCAACTGTATTGTAAATAAATCAAAGGAACACTTTCATTACAGTCAATAATATTACTGAAATTAATTTTAAAACTGAATAATTATAAATTTACAAACATTTACACAAGAAAGTACATAGACTCGATGGGCCAAAAATCTGCAGAAATCTGTGGGTTTCTGCACGCGCAGATTCCGTGTGGGCCTACTTATTGCTCATCTTCAGGCATATTAATAGAATAAGGCTAAGAATTCAGTTCAAGTTTACTAAGTATCCTTGATAGCACCCTATCCTTTCATTCTCACATCAATAACATCACCCGTTCTGCTTACTTCCACCTACGCAACATTAACCGTCTCCGTCCTTCTCTTACCCCTCATGCCACTGCTGTTCTTGTTCATAGCCTTGTCACATCTCGTTTAGATTACTGCAGCTCTCTTCTCTTTGGTCTCACTCATAAATCTCTCCGTAAGCTTCAGTTGGTCCAGAACTCAGCTGCCCGTTTCATCAACAGAACCCCTTCTTCTCATCACATCACCCCTGTCCTGCAGCAGCTTCATTGGTTACCTGTTCATTTTCGAATTGACTTTAAAATCTTGATGTTAACATTCAAAGCCATCCACAATCTCACCCCTCCATATTTGTCTGCCCTCATCCACATTTCTGTTCCTTCTCGCACCCTGCGATCTTCTCCCTCCCTCCACTTGTCTGTTCCCTCTTCTCGTCTTTCACCTATGGTCAACAGAGCATTTAGCCGCTCTGCTCCGTGGCTTTGAAACTCATTACCACCTGCCATCAACATTGACTTCCTCACACTATTCAAATCAAAACTCAAAACCCACTTATTTAAGATGGCTTTTAATACTTAATTAATTTTATTTGCACTATTGCTGTGTATATTTTTTATTTCTCTTGTTGTTTTATTGCTCTTGTAGATTGTACGGTGTCCTTGAGTTGCTAGAAAGGCGCCTTTAAATAAAATGTATTCTTCTTATTATTATTATTAAGTACAGCTTAGCTCTTAACATCATGGCATCTTCGTTAATGTGACATGCATATTAATAAAGTTCAATGATCAATTCGATAAACTTCTTACCATTTGGTGTTTCAAATGTTTTAAAATGAAAACATTTCTTTCTGACTTTTTAACATTTTATTAGTTGCATCATAAATAAATAAAACTTAAATAAACTTAAATAAATATATCTTTGAAGCTATATGTGACACTAGGCAAAGGGGGATGTTTGTAGCAGAATGTAAAATTAGTTGTTTTTTTGCACAATAAATTTTTATGTACATTGTTCATTTATTTATTTAATAACTTTCAGATGAAAAATATTGAACTCAAAACACGTGAAAGATGTTCAGAAACAACAGATATAGCAATTTTCATTCCTTCATATCATATTGAAATTTTTGACACAAACAGCCTCTAAGACTCAGATGATAGTTATCCAACGTAATTTGAGATTTTTATCACTGTTAAAAAAAAAGCAGGCATTTATGCAATGCCACTTTTTTCTTTCTTTCTTTCTTTTTTGTTGTTGTTGTCCAAACGTGCTCCATGGAAAATTTGTCCTTGAAGAATTTTCATTCAATCATAACACAACCAAACCAGCTCATCTGGATGTCTGGTACTGGGTCTTTCAGACACTTCCAGGAAAATGTGCCTGCTTGGGTGGAGCTCAGGACTGGGAAAGTATGCACGTACAGTACTCTAAGGGGTATTTTCCAATGAACAAAAATAGAAAGTGATCACCTGATCAAAGTAAGTGTGTGGTGGAAGTTTACATTAATCTTTTATAGTGACAAATTGATCGATAGTTACCCAACCATTTCAGAATGTGTAATGTTGACATCCTTAGTCTTAGGTCACTGGTTGATAAATATGTAACTTGAACAGTTAAGGTTAGCTCAGCTCAGGGCAGGTACAGCTAAGATGTTTGTTGAGGACACAAAGCTGCCACTGAAACCTAAAAAGACAGGTGAGGCACTTAGTCTTGTTGTCCTAAGGTATGTGTTCAATTGTTAGTCTACGAGAGCACATAAGTATGCCATGTGTGACAAGGGTGCTTCAGTGAAGAGCAAGCCCTTGACAATAACAGCCTTATTCAGGATGTGTAAACTTAGTGCGAGCCAAAAGGCCATTACAACAGCCCACTCAGCATTTCACATGGACTGGGAAATCCCCTTTCATCTTTCTAACTGAGCTCATCTTGTATTATCCAACAGGAATGTGGGACTGAAAGCAAATTTATTTATAAAGCTATATAAACTATTTTACTATAAACTATTTATACAGCAATAAAAAAAACCCAACAACAGCCGTTGGTAAAAGTCGAAGACTAAATAAATCTCATAAGCTTTATTAACTGATTTGTTTCTAAACTTCCTCTTAGAAACCCTACAGAAGTTGGAGTGGTGTGTAGACGCACCTTATTAGCTTTATAGGCATCTTGTCAACAACCACAGTCTTTGTGCATTGTCTTTTCTTATCTTTTAAGTTTGTCGAAACCCATACAAAACAGCGATAGGGTGTGTAAAAGTTAAAGTTAACTTTAAACAAGATTTTTGAGGAAGAAAACATTTAGCATTAGCTGCTACTTTTGTCTGGTAAGCCCTAATGCCAGTCAGACAAATATTTAACAGGGTCGTCCACTACAATATCATATTTTAAACTTCAGTTGATGTGTAATGTAGCTGTGTGAAAATAAACAAAATCTCTGAATGTAATGTGCTCAAAGTTCAATGTAAAGGGAGACATTGACTTTAACAGCGTTAGCTTAGCAAAGTCTACAGTGAATAAAGTTTGGAGACTACAAAAAAATACATTCGGGTTAACGAAGTCATAAATCCTTTAGGTTATGCGTATACACCCTGCGCAGTAAAGGAGTGTGGCAAGAGGTTCTGTAACGTTATGACAGAGAGAGCTAAAATGCCAGCCAAATGCTGCTTTTTTCATAAAGCTTCTTCTGTTTCTATATTTCGGATTCCAAAAGAAAAAAAAACAAAGAGAGAAGTTTTTTGCAATTACTAAAGTGTTATTTTGGTCCAGACAATTATAAAAGAGATATAGCTCTAGCATTTGACAAAGAACAGCTTCCAAAATCTCTCCCAATTCAGTGCTGGATTCAGCTAAAAACTTCAAAAAAATATGTTTAATTATCTGTTGTCTTAGACTTGACACATGGCAGAGAATTAGGTTTACAGTCTTACCTCTCTGACTCATCATCCCTCCTTTTTACTCCATACAAAAATCTATCAGGAGACATGCTTAGTAAGATCACCATCATAATATTTAAATTTAAGTTTTGTCGACTTGCAAAACTCACTGTGTGCCGTCACTTCCACATAAAAGACTGTTATGCTGGCTTCACAACGCCTGAGCGACGCAGAAACAAAAACAAATTTTTTCTGCATGTACATTACTGTAACAACCGGGACTCACACCGGGTCCAGAAGAAGTGGTGTGTGAGGCATGAGGGTATGGTTTTCTGTGCACATGGAGAGATGCGTCAGTTTGCTTTTTGTTGCAGAAAAAAGTGGGGGAGAACGGTTGAGCAGGGGTATTTGTAAAATGACGTGCTGGATCAGATTTCAGAGGTGCCGGATCCGGCATGTTCCGGCAGAAATTGAGCCCTGCTTACACTTATAACCCAAATATACAGTTGAAGTCAGAATTATTAGCAGCCCCCCTGACTTATCACCCTCACTTAATTTCTGTTTAACAGAGAGAAGATTTTTTTAACACATTTCTGAACATAATAGTTTTGATAACTCATTTCTAATAACTGATTTATTTTATCTTTGCCATGATGACAGTAAACAATATTTTACTAGATATTTTTCAAGACACTTCTATACAGCTTAAAGTGACATTTAAAGGTTTCACTGGGTTAATTAGGGTAACTAGGCAGGTTAGGGTAATTAGGCG